AGCAAAGATTTTACCTATACGCGGGCGTTGTTCAATTTGTTTAGAAGGGTCACGAATTACCGTAATTTACGAAAAATAGTTTGAACTTAATTCGACTTTATAAGGGAAAATTACCTTTAAAATAGTGAAAAAACCGTTCTACTGCATAAAGATTTTGAAATCCCAAACTTACATGGCATAGTTTTTGAGATATAGAATTTCGTGTTTTTGTCCAAAGTTGCACACAGGTCATTTTGCGCAAAATTTAGGTAGCGAACTTTGAATCAATCAAAAAATCATAAATTTGCAAACTTTCGACGTACAGATTTATATTAATTTTGGTCTCTTTTTATAGCTTAGGAAGTCTACTTTTCAGAAAATACAAAGATTTATGGTGCACCGATGAAGCCTTCCGAATTATTTGTCTTCAAGGACATTGACAGTAATTTTTCCGGGGTTATATTTTTTTCCTAGCGGAGTAAACAGTCAGTGTCTTTGCGAAAAATACGTTGGACTGAATTAATTCGATTGCATAAGCAAAAATTGCCTAAAAAAATAGTGATCAGAACTAAACTAAAATCTACACTTTATATAGCATATTTTCGAGATATTAAAGTTCGTACATTTTGCGCAAAATTTAGTGGTCTTAAATGCGAACTTAGAATCTTCGAAAAACCATTGGTAGTGAAGCCTTCCGAACTATTTTGCTTCAAAGACACAATAAATTTTACGGCGTTATTACTTTTTCTCAGCGGTATAAACGGGCGGTGTATTTGGGTAAAATATCTTGAACTCAATTCGATTGCATGACCACTAAAAAGCCTAACAGCCTGGAATGAAGATATATGGAAAATATCAATGAGTCAAGAAATTTGAGAAGCACTTTTAGTATATACTAAAACAGTGGATAGTGTTTTTCGCGCGCTCTGATTGGCTACTCAATCAGTGAATATCCTGCACTATTCACTGATTCACCTCCAGTTCCTCCGAGCGAGAGACGCCAAACTCGCGTAAGTTGCAAAATGCCTTCCCGGTTTGCTGCCGTAACAAACAAAGAAATTTCACAATTAATCAAGCAAGCTGTTTCCGAAATACATGTATTTTCCGCTGTTATTCCAAGTAGTTAGTCGCAGTTGTTTTCGTTTCACACCTGCCGCACCCACTATTGTGCATTCTGTTTTGCATTGATGTCCTGATAGAGCAGTTATTAGTATTTATACTCTCCGTTGTCTCTTGAGTACCATTCACGCTCGCGGTTCCATACAGGTTATTCATCTTTCTGGTTTGTGTTTTTCCCATTCGTGTGATGCCCAACGATCAAAAAGAGAGCGAAGGTTCGTCCGTGCCGGCTGAAGTTGGCCAAACTTCAGGTGATAGTGGAGGCAACTCAGCAGCCGTTGATCAAGTCTTTTCCATGTTTAAGGATTTTCTTGAGAAAAAATTAGAAGATAAAGGAAAGCAAATCGAACAAAGGAGTAAGTTAGATAAAGAAGTTGTACAGCTAAAGTTCAAAGGTAACCAGAAACAATTTGAACTTAATGCCGAATTAGATGCCATTTTTGAAAGCATTGAAACTGAAAGTGAAAGCATGGAGCCAAATTTGTCGCAGATCAAGAAACTTTCCCAAGAGGGCAGGCAACGTATTCGAAAGCGACAGAAGCTGATAAAAATCGCTGATAAAAGTAGGGACGGCTGGCAGGTTGTAGCCGAGTAAGAGTCAGACGAGCTTCCATCCGGCTCCGAAGATGAAAAGCGTCTTAAGAAGGCAAGAGAAGCGGCGAGCCGCAAGAGACGTCAAAAGGAACAACTCTCCAGCGATCGTGGAAAGAAACCAAGAATTGCTTTGGGCGCTGATAATCAGCTTTTTCGTGGTAAGAAAAAGGAGCCTCCTCTTTACTTTGTATATTCATATGTGTTTTGGATCTGCTTGCGCATCCTACCATATTTCTCGCGTGATTTGTTTGTATTACGGGAATTTAAGGGTAAAATGATTTACGTTCGTTTGAGCGAAGCGAATTAGAACGTAAATGTATTTTCCGCTGTTATTCCAAGTAATTAGGCGCAGTTGTTTTCGTTTCACACCTGCCGCACCCACTATTGTGCATTCTGTTTTGCATTGATGTCCTGATTGGCCAGTTATTAGTGTTTATGCTCTCCGTTGTCTCTTGAGTACCATTCACGCTCGCGGTTCCATACAGGTTATTCATCTTTCTGGTTTACGCCCCCCACCCCCCCCCCCCCCTCCTCCCGTTTATTACAGGTTTCTTCATTGCTGTTATCTTTCAGGCCGTAGAGACGATTCTGACGACTTCTTTCGCTGTTTCAAATGCGGCAAATTTGGACACTGGGCCAAGGACTGTAGATCCATGTTCTGGCCGGGAAGTTACCAGTCCCCTAGCTACAATTCTTGCCCTGGAATCTCCTACAACAAGCCAACCGCAGGCCAATCAACTCAACCAAAGCAATGAAGATGACTTGGCGCAGGTAGATCAAATTACACGGAATTACGAACTTGAAAGCGGACATTCATTAAGTGTTAAGGGTAATCTGAAGAATAATTTAGGTTTCTGGAGATCTATAGGTGCTCCGGATTTTATTTTGTCTATTATTGAAAACGGCTACAGGCTGCCGTTCATCAGTTTTCCGTTGGCCGTAAAGCTAGGAAATAATAAGTCAGCTCGACTTCATGCTGATTTCGTGGACCAAGCCGTTCTTGAGCTTGTTAACTCTGGTCGGGTGCGTATCGTTAATGAGCAGCCCTTTGTTGTAAATCCCTTGTCAGTTTCTATACAGCCATGCGGTAAAAAGAGGTTAATTCTTGATTTGCGCCATGTCAATAAGTCATTAATTAAGCAAAGTGTTAAGTACGAGGACTGGAAAATTGCTATGGCTTATTTTGCGAAGGACGCGTACATGTTTTCCTTTGATTTAAAAAGCGGTTATCACCATATCGACATTGCGCATGAGCATCAAACTTTTCTGGGGTTTTCATGGCGGGCGTCTGTTTCCGTTAATGAAGTATTTTATGTTTTCACTGTGCTCCCGTTCGGTCTTTCCTCTGCCCCTTATGTTTTCACAGAGGTTTTGAAGCCTTTAGAAAAGTATTGGAGAATACAGGGTCTTTGTATAGCCATCTTCTTGGACGATGGTTGGGCGATTGTTCAGGATAGAGAAAGTTGTCGCATTAAGGCCCTAGCTGTAAGGGGGGATTTGTATAACGCGGGTTTTGTCGTTAACGAAGACAAATCGGTATGGGAACCCACCCAAGTATTGGACTGGTTGGGTATAACCTGGAATTCTGCACTGGGTACTTTAAAAATTGTAGAAAGAAGAATTCTTAAGATTATCAGTACAATTGATCATATTATTGGAGCCGATTTCAAAGTGTCTGCGCGAGAGTTGGCCTCCTTCACAGGTCAAATTATTTCTACCGGGCCTGTAGTTGGTAACATTGGCAGGATAATGACCAGACATTGTGTCTTGTCCACCTTGTGCAAAGATAACTGGGATTCTATATTCCGTCTCGACGATTACTGTAAGGAAGAACTGTATTTTTGGAAGGAAAATATGGTTAATATCAACTCTAGGTATTGCTTTGCAAGTAAAGATCCTAGTTGTTTTGTATATTCAGATGCCAGTGCTACCGGAGGTGGAGCAATTATTGACTTTAACAATGATTTTGTGTGCCACAAAATGTGGTCGGAGAACGAGAGAGTTCAAAGCTCAACGTGGAGAGAGTTGTCTGTTATTGAGTTTTCATTGCAATCATTTGCCTCAGTGTTGGAAGGATCACACGTTAAGTGGTTTACCGATAGCCAAGCAGCTGCTAAGATCGTTGAAGTGGGCAGCATGAAATTAGGTTTGCATAAGATGGCCCGAAGGATTTTTGATATTTGTATTCGATCGGGGATTCATTTAGAAGTGCAATGGATCCCTCGCACTTCGAATCAGCAAGCTGATTATATAAGTCGTTTAATTGATACTGATGATTGGCAAATTACTGACGAATTTTCTCTTTTTCTTGATGGTCGGTGGGGCCCGCATAGTGTTGATTATTTTGCCAGTTATTATAATCACAAGCTCCCCAGATATTTTTTGAGGTTTTGGAACCCCAATACTTCGGGTGTTGATTTTTTCTTTCAGTCTCTTCGAGGAGAAAATTGCCTAGTAGTCCCTCCAGTTGGTATCGTCCCACGTGTATTGCATTATTTGAAATCTTAGCAGGCCGTTGGTACGCTCGTTGTACCTCTTTGGCCTTCGGCCCACTTTTGGCCTTTAATTACACACAAGTATAGTACTTATCTTGTGGCTCACAGTATTCATATCGGGAATGAGGTTCTAACCCGCGGAAGAAATCTTAATTCGCTCTTAGGGTCTGATCTTTTCACAGGAAATATTATTGCCTTTAGATTGAAATTTACTGAGTAATTTATTGGATGGTCTGTCCATTAGCCTAATGATTATTCACATTTGGTGGCGCTGGCCAAAGCAATATGTTGTTTATCTATGTGGCACTGGCCTAATTAATAGTTTGTCATTTCATGTGGCGCTGTCTTTAACAGTGTATAGTTGATTTATGTGGCGCTGGCCCAATCAATGGTTTTTGATTTACGGGACACTGGTCCATTCAATAGTCTATCGTCTTATGTGGCACTGGCCCCAACATTGATCGATTTTTATACGGATCTTTTTTGTTCTTTTATTATATATCTTTGTTCTTGTCTTTCCAGGTAATCTTATCAAGTAATTCCTGGAAAGGCTTTCAACAATTTTCTTCAATCAACGTTTATGAGGTTTTAGAAGTTATGTTGAAGTCCAGGGCGGATACAACTACTAAAGCCTACGTTCGCGTTATTAGAAAGTTCTTGGAGTGGTCTAAAGGTAGACATTTCAACATGCAGTTACCTTTTCCCCTTAGTGTTGTTTCCCTATATTTATTTGAAGTTCAGCAGTCTTGCACCTCTAGTTCCTCAGTAATTTTAGCCCATGCTGCCCTTAAATGGTTACATTCTTTTGTCCCTAGTTTGGATCGTAATCCTTTGGATAGTGAATTTTGCAGGAATATTATCGAATCTGCTAAACGCCAGAAATCACAGCCAGTAATGAAAAAGAAGCCTATTACCACAGAAATCATAAGGAGTATTTTAGATATTCATAACAAGAAAGATGCTAATTTAAAGAATCTTCGTATCGCTGCGTTATGCTCTTTAGCTTTTGCAGGATTTTTTCGTTACGACGAATTATGCAATATTGTTCCTAAGCATATTGAATTTCACAGCGATTATATAAGAATCTTTGTACCTCGTAGTAAGACAGATGTTTATAGGGAAGGGAATTTCGTCTTTATTAGTGCATCCAGGTCTAAGTACTGTCCTGTTGGTGTTTTACAACGGTATTTAGATTTATCTGGTATTGACTTATGTAGTTCTCTCCCTTTATTTAGACCGCTTGTTTTTCACCGTAGTAGTTCTAGCTATACTCTGAGAAGTGGAAAGATTTCTTATACTACTTGTAGAGATATCTTAAGGGATACCTTAAGTCAGCTGGGCCTCAACCCTAATGATTGTGGTCTTCATAGTTTAAGATCCGGTGGTATTACATCTGCGGTACGTAATAGTAGTAACTCGATTCCAGAAAGACTTCTTAAAATACATGGTAGATGGAAATCTGATTCTGCCAAGGATATGTATGTTGAAGAAAGCCTTGAAAACAGGTTACAAGTAACTAAGTATTTAGGTTTGTAATGCATTATCGAGCTTATATTAATTTCTCCAAACAGTAGTGTGTAAAAAACAACAACAACAACAACAACAACTTTGTAATTTCTTTTTTCTGCAGTCCGCTCTGTATTAGTAACTATCTATCTTATAATAAACTGTTTTGGATCTGCTTGCGCATCCTACCATATATATTTCTCGTGTGATTTGTTTGTATTACGGGAATTTAAGGGTAAAATGATTTACGTTCGTTTGAGCGAAGCGAATTGGAACGTAAACGAAGAAAGTGACGAAGCTCGGGGTGGAAGTTTCCACAGGTAAAGCTTTGTCTCTTTGACTTGAATTTATCGATAAAAACCGGCGAAAAAGTTTTGTTGTTTACAAATGCAAATTAAGTTTAAGTCTTGCGTTACTTTTTTTTAGTTGACTTGTTCATAAATAAACTTAAAACTAAATCTAATAATCCTTTATACAGAATGATTTTAAATACAAAAATAATTTATAACTCCTTTATAGAAAATTTCCCCGCAAGAGCTAAACAAATGCCTTCAAAAGTTTCATTTGCCGGCAAGAAAAAGCGACGACAGCGGCCATTCGGGTCATTGCGCGCCAAAATTGTAATCGTTGCAGGCAACAGTAAATGAGTTAAAAATCATCATTTTTGGGCTCAATTATCTCACTGTTTTAGTATATACTAAAACAATTATTCACCTCAGTGTCGGTGGCTAGTGATGGATATTTACCTCGCCGCTAACGCGGCTTCGGTAAACATCCATCACTAACCACCTCCACTTCGGTGAATAATTGTTATATATCCAATCCTTTACACAGCATATGCAATTAAAAAAATATACGGGAATTTTGCATGACTTTGCCTGTGATGAGATTAAATTAGTCAAAATTAGTCAAAAAAAAGAAAAATTAAAAATAAAAAAACTCACTTTTGAACACAAAGACAACAAAGAATAAAAAAAGGAATATCAAAAGTCCCTCTTTGTTAGCCTTAAATGGTAACCTCGTCAATCTCATTTTAAGCGTTTCACAGCTTGCAGTATGACTCGAAGTATCGTTATTTAAAGCTATTTTCCTTTCTGGCTTTTATGCATAAGTACTGATTTTTGCTTTTATTACAAAGTTTGGAGTAGGGGAAAACAAAGTGTCCGAAAATCATTCCACTACTTCAAGAAAGTTTAATTATATATATTTGAATTGTTAATTCCATTTTTGGATGTTTAATTAAGTTGCCTTCAAGGTTAGGTAACTTAACTAAAGAAGGTTTGCAAACCAAATTTGAAGATGATGTGAACTGCTTACCATCAGTGCAACCAAAGGCAACTGGGAATAAAAACAGAGACAGACCAAAGGCACAAATTTGGAGACAAACGTCCATGCTCGGCATTATCCCTACCATCTTACCTCAGTGGTTTAGAAACTAAAAACGTGCGCCAAAAACGGGAAAATATTGAAAGCAGGATGACCCTATTAAGTTTCTCTCGGCTTTAATGTATACAGTGATAGCTTTCAGTGTTCAGCCAATAAGAACATACGGACAGCAAACAATATTTCCCCATCTACGGGTAGCTGTGCAAAATTTTCAATATCCCTGTGTTAATGGGCTAATTGCTTGTTGTTGTTTTGGTACCAGTTTTATTGAACACGTTTTAAGAAGATATAACCAAATTCTTAACTGAATTCGATTTGAAGAAAGTGACATCGAATCATTTCGTAACATTTCCATGAAAGTGACGAGAAACTGAAGATGTAGATTCCTTAGTCCTGTGGGGCTCGCTAAGCAGTAGATTCTTGCACCTACTCCCAGTAATTCTCCATGTATCTTTCTGCCTTACGGGAAAGTAGATATTAGTTTTTCTCCCTTTTAAATTTATAAGAATTTATATATCCTCTGTATTTGGAAGTGTAAGAGCACCAAAAAGAGATAAATGTGATACAAAACTGTCTCACGCAAATGAAGCACCCTCAGTATGTTAACTTTAAGTGCAGTTTATCAATTATCGCAGCCGGCAGCATTAGGGGTTTGTTTAACTTGTCTGTTTACCTTACTCTACTTCTCTGTTATACAAAATGTTTCACCGAGGTTTCACTTAGAACATGGAGCTACTTAAAACTGTAGGTAATAAAAACGGTCAGTTTTGAAGTTAATTGAAAGTATGCTGTTTAGAAGCAGAAGCATATGCTTCTGTTAGAAGTTAATGATTCAGGGGAGAGCCACACCTAATTGTTGGAAATATGATTCTCACAAAACAGATACGTTTAGATCTACCAACTACGACCTTTTTTGTACCGATTAATCAGGGGCACCCAACGTCAATTTTCGGAAAATATCTGTTCGGAAGACGATTTGAGATTTAGAATTTTTGGAGCATTTGTTGTAAAACTTCTTGCTTGCTTGCTTCTCCTAGAATTTTCGAACATCTAAAGAGTGGTATAATTGCCCATTTTTAACGGATTTTTACGCTTAAAAGGTCACCTAGAATTTTCGGGAGCCTTTTTTCCGGCTGAAATTTTCGAAAAGGTAAGTTTTGACCCCTATAATTTTCGGGTCACTAGACCCTCAGCTAGGAAATCCGAACAGATGAAAAATTTTTAAGGGATAAAAATATGCCTATATCTACTGTTTGAATACTAAAATACGTTTAACAATGTTATGTTTAAGTGGTTTTGAACTATATTCTCGTTGGGTGCCCCTGATTAACGATTAAGGAAAGTGGGAAGCAAGTTTTTAAATCAGTATTAAGCCACAGGAAATAGTTTTAACTTTTGCTTCCCGAAACGGTAAATTTAATGAAGGAGTAAATAAATTCTGCACTACACGTTCCTGTTTGGCTAATGTTTACCATGTGGTTGGTTCATTTTGAGTAAACTGAGTCAATTCAATTAGGCCTTTCCAGCAAAAAGCCTGATTCTCAATATTATATTGATTCTCAATATACAGGCATTTGACATTTATCCACCTGCTGTTAACGTACTCCCTTGCTATATAAGAATATAAGACTAGTATAACTGGCCATTTTATATTTATTATTATCATCATTATTATTGTTGTTGTTGTTATTGTTATATTTATTTTTTCTAAGGGCTGGGATGACTCAGTGCAAAATAATTATAACTAGAAGGCGGATGATTAATTTTAAAATCGAAATATCGGTACTATAGGAATAGTGAACTAACTAAGCTCAGGTACAGGGATAAGGGGTAACCAAACATCCCTCCACCTAAATGGTGCAGACTTAAAACTTAATTATATCTTGCGGTTTGGGAGCAACAAAGAGAAAGTTGAGCTGATTCGAATGGAGGCTTATAACTAAATGGTGCATGTAAAAATATATTTATAGACAATTTCAGCGGGTAATTAAGAAATTTAATTAAAAATCCATCCGCCAAATGACGTATGCAAATCGTGTTTATCTTCTTATTTAACGCAATGCTCAACTTAACTGTTAAAATACGTCGAAGGATTTTCCTTGACTATCTGTAAACGCTCAGTACCCCCTTCACTTACAGACAGCTGTCTTGTCTAATATTGTCTATATTTCACAGCTATAAAATACACCTTTAAGGTCGTTCCGCAATGACAGATTTCCCTACCTTATTTTATAGATCAACCAGTGAAACCCCTACCCTTTCATATACAGGAATCCTGACAAAGGTACCCCTTTAGGCATAAAAAAAGAAGCCATAAGTTTCCTTTTAATCTAGGGTATCTCCTGAAATATTGATCCTCGGAATTTGCAGTTTCCAATATTTTGTGAAGGACAAAGTAATCTAAAAGATTTATAATCAGCTTGTCCTGGCTTTCCTTGCTTTTTTTTTTTTTTTTCACATTGCCTTTTTTTTTACACAGCTACTATTGTTTTATCAACCATAGAGTTTTAGGAGTTTAATAGACATAGAGTCAGCTAGTCGTTGCTCTTTTCAGTTTCTAGGTCGAGGTTATGGGCTAAGCATTGCTAAGTCTTATAAAATAGTCCCAAGTATCAATCGATAGGCAGAAAGTTGGCTCTTGGTTTGGGTGAGCTGATTAAACTGATCCCTCGGCTGTCAAGGCGATTTTACTGACCAGTTGGCGCGAATGTAGAAAATCTTCTAAGTCCCACATACCAGTCAGCAAAACCTACAAACCTGAAAATGGTATTTTTGAGCTTTTAATGACGTTTAGGTCTTCTTATTGACGTTATTCAAATATCATACTTCGATTACGATAATCTACGGAACGAAGCTTCTATTTTCGAGGAAGCAGTGCTTTAAACATGGCTCTAAAAATAAACTGGTCAGTTAAAACGCCGTGATATTGGTCTACCGGTATCGAAGTTGTTCGCTCCTGTTTTTACCTTAGTCACAGGGAGAGGACTCTTTTCTTCTGTAAGACTTTCGTCTCATTTCTTAGAGGGATTTTGCCGATCATTCTAGCTTGCATTGTTTCCTTCGCTTTTTGTTTTGTCTTTTCTTCCCATCCAGCATTGGATGGGATTCCTGTGGTTTAAAGGGGGAATGGGTCTGAGAGGGTCGACACCTAGGAGTGCCGAAAGGGACTGGTGAGTACAGTTTAAAAATGGCGGACGGCGTGGGGTGATGAAATTCTAACCTCTTTGCTGTTCGCCTCTAATGTCTTCATATATGGCATCCCAGAGGCTTAAAATGTTAAGAACAATTATTCAATGTGATGAGTGAACGTCAGGCTATTCCTGAGTGCCCCCAGCATCAAACAGCCCCTCTGTAACTCGTTTTATTCGCGACCAACATCTTCAGGAGGTGTTACATCGACTCTTGACCTGATAAAAATTAGGTTTCAAGGTAAGATGAGCACTATCAATAACTTGGTTGTGTGTAACGTGCAAAGGTATTGCAGTGTGAAATGTAATGCTATATGCAACTAGCTGTGCGGCGTGAATGACAAAACTATAGCATGAAATAAATCAGAAAGGGAAAAAGGCTAATAAGGTTCGGAAACGTCTACATGTATATTTAAGACGTACACGTATTTATTTGTCCAAAAAGGGCAACTTAAG